TTCAGTGCCCCCGTCCACATTGTCTCACTATCATTCATGATCACAACATTAAATTGTTTTTCACAATCGCAACATTAGATTTTTTTTTTTCTAACAAGACTCAGGTAAACTGCAAAAATTTAACAATCTCCCACCAATATATTTCTGTAGAAAACAAATAACTGACAATAAATCCTTTGCTCCATATTAAATTTTAGACAGTCTCATCACCACCAAAAAAGGCTCAGGGTTTTCAATGTCCTTTCCAATTCAGACTGAGATCCATAACCAGTTTGGCCCATGGTCTTTTCAGAAACACAGACAAGGATTTCTCAAAGAAAGTAACTAAGTTTCCTTTCGAAAGCGATAACATTTTTGCACCAGTCCCATTTGCCATTTTTCACATAACACTCAAGCCACTTTCACTGACAGAACCATGGACCTCCTGCCACAGTGCTTTGGCACACTAGCATTCCACTGCCAATTTCCATTTCAAGAGCGAAAGCATAATTTCAGCCAGTACGGGGCATATTGGTGATTTACAACTATTAAGCCTTAAAAGAATACTGTGCATTAGATCTATTTAAAGCTTCAATGGAAGCAATCACTGGTCCTATTTCTCCTGTTCTCAAATCTAAAATTATTCATACCATTTTTTGTTTAAATATTTGATCATAGGTTCTCGGACTATTATATTTTTTTTCCTTATTACTGACAAGAAAAAAAAGCAGTGAGAAGTTCTAGGGACATATTACAGAGCTACATTTTCAGATGGATTAACGAACACCAGATCCTTATTTTTGAATTATTTCTTTTAGGTATAAACATACAAGTAAAATACAGTGTAGGAGTCATCTTGTGGTGAGATGGGCAGAAAATAAATTTAATAAAGAATAAGCAAATAGGCACCAATTGCAAACATTAAAACTGCTGAAGCTGGACTAAATATCTAAAGCAGGAATTCCCAACCATGGCAACTTTAAGATATGTGGACTTCAACTCCCCATGTTGGGGAATCCTAGTAACTGATGTCCATATGTCTTAAAGTTGCCAAGGTTGGGAAACCTGATCCAAAGTATGGATCTTGCAGGTCATCAAAATGCTTCTAGTCCCTCTTACATGTCTAACCTCTCTTACCTGTCTATCTCCTAATTGTCTACTTCCTAATTCACATTGAGACAACACTGTATTCTTCTACATTTTTGCAAATAGAGAAGCATCACTTTCTGAAGTCAGAGGAGATATATAATTCAGAGATAAACAAGAAAGTATATCTATGAGTAGCAAAGATTCACTCAACAAACCTAATACTTGTATTCAGATCTAGCCTTTTCTCCAAAGAAGGGCACCACCTTTTAATTTATTTTTTATTTGTCAAAGAAAATTCAAACAAAGAAAACAAGAAAATCAAAATGTGACAGGGATGGCAGGAAGAATTGAAATTGTGCAGAGATCAGCCTTCTCCAAATAGGCCAGCTAAGGAAATTTGAATACATCAGGAGGGTATCCAGTTGGGAAAGTGATTAATATCCTCCTTTCAACTTTCTCTTCCTCTTCCATCATCTTCACCATCTCATGCAGGTACTGTTATTTCTCAGTTTTATTATGATTCATATCTTCTCAAAAGGAACTGCATGGTGTTATAGGGCCTATTTTTGGATATTTATAGTTTACTTTGGTTATCTATGGAAAATGTGAGATCACTATAAGATTTCAGAATGGACAGTGAAATTTTAAATTTAGTCAATGGAATTTTATTCTTGGAAAAGCACACATTTTATATTTGTTCAACAATGATCAATAATCAGCCATTGGCTAAATACCCAGTCATAAATGTCACATATGGGCTGGTGAACTGCTGTGTTGTTTTGATTGAAATTGTAATGTAACCTGATCAAACCATGGTGGATAAGTATGAGATTCATACCTTCATGATTGTGGGGCAGAGAATAGTTCTTACTTTACACCCCATCTCAGTGTATTGTTAATGTTGATTTATTTTAAATTAACAGATGCATGTTGAACAATAGAAGGTTTTCCTTTTAAGTGATCAGGTGAGCATTTGATCCCTTCTGCTGTTGAGATATGCTTATTTTTATCTAAGCAACCTGAAATCAAGGCTGACATACTACTGTACAGTTGTCCTGCAAATAATCTGCATTGTTAAGCTGAGAGAATTTAGCTTTGATTTCAATGTATGTATATATATTCCATTTTCATCTCCCAGAATAAAGAGATGATGGTTGAATTTATGGGCAAGACTCCTAATAAGTAAGATATTGTTTTGTTCATGGAAAACAGATTAAAAGACTGAAAACTTCAAGTGCAGTAGAAAAGCACAATGTGAATAATATTTTTCTTTAAAAAATTGCTCTGCATTCTGTTACTCAGGAGTTTAAGAAAGCATTCTTGTATTTTGAAAAAATACAAATCTTCTCTCTCAAATGATTTCTTGTATACATATATGAATAAAGTAAAAATGAATGTACGTGTGATCAAAATGCATATTTACAACCAGAATATTTAAATCTTGAGAAAATAATAAAATAAAGTCACAGGAAATGATTTGATCTGAGTTTAGGAATATTAATTTAATATTTATTCTTCAAAGCCTACCAGGGTTTTGCAAGAATCAGCAATTCAGATATAATATAATAAACTAGAATATTTGACAAGCACTACATATATTCAGATGTTGTGCTGGATTACAACTACCATGTTCTTCAGCCAGTCATTTGAACAGGTACCAATTTGGGCTGAAGAGTATAGTAGTTAACAGAATAATTAAACAGAATAAAGATTGTATACTTAAAAATTCATAGTACACTTGGTTACTTGTGCTTGGGGTTTGTTGTTATTGTTTATTAACAAAAGAATAAGCACTGGAAGATATCTTGTCATTCATCACTTAAGTTCATTTTATTATGATTTCAAATATCTATCTATACATTTTCAATATTTCAAAAAGTGGTTTGCACATAAACATTTTGTGTTAAGTAATAGCAGATCATTGGCTGTTATTGATGCCCTGACCAGGATGTAATCAAAGCTGAAATGAAAACATAATTCAAAATTGCAAGGAAAAGAAGCAACCATATAAAAATAAATCATTTAAAAGTTGTACTATCTTCATGCCTATTCTGGAAAGATAAAAGATTCCCACTCTTATTGCTTTAAGAAGGAATCCTTTGTATATGCTAAACAGTTCCTCCTCCCCACCAACCAATGAACTCATAGTCCCAAAGTACGTACATTCTGTACACATTTATATATGGACAGCTTCATTATTGTGCCAGGCCACCTGTGACAGTATCAAGTAGCTTCTGGAGGAAAATATAGGACAGGATAGGAACATCATATTATTACTAAAACAGTTGGGAAAATCCTTTTTAGCTACTATTCAGAGACTCTATCCCCTGCAAAGATTTAGCCTGGTTGCAGAAAGTATAAAAATGTCCATTCCCCCAAAATACATGCAGACTCCACTACCAACACCTGGGATGCATGGCTGCCTCTACAGATCCTGATAGGGACACATTTAATTAAAATTGTTGACAAGCAGACTATAGTAACACCTTATTAATGTGCCTAATCATTGAATACTGGTATGCTTGAAAACTCTCCACAGCAGTTCTTAATGCTCAGCACATAAAATGCTCATTGATGTCTGCACAGGGATTGTTGGATGTCTGGAGATGAAGCTTGTGTGTTAGGCCACTGCTGTCCTAATGGGCAAGAGTGGAAATGAAGTCCAGGCTATATGGTAGATACCATAATTTCAAATGAACATCATCAGGACCCTGGGTTAAGTATATTCTTTTTGGGGTACTGTTGATGTTTCTCTCTGATTTGCAACTGTTGTTGGTGTTTGTATTTATATGCATCGCTAAACCCTTTTCACTGAATTTTCTAAGACTGAATTTTTCATTGAATTTTTTTCACTAAATTTTCTTAGTACTCATGAAACTGTGATGTTAAAACTATAAGCTGTTTTAAGAGGCTTCACTGAACCAGAACATAAAATGGAGATAAGAAGATAAGAAAGACATTTCTGCATTACATATCTCATGTACACATTGCAAGTCTCTGGAAAAGTTAGTACATAATGTAAAATGTATATCAAATCAAGCTTGTTGCATCAGCCAAAAATTTCACCAATTGTAAATTACCATTGATTCTCTAGGATACTTCTCTTAGATGTTAATTCAGTAGGGTAATAAAAATGTAACCAAGCCACAATCTGGGCAAAATGCAACAGGAATCACACAATCTATACATAGTTGACAAATCAAGGAAGTTTGCGCAGTCAGCTATCTCCAAGGGACAAGTGGGTCTTTATGTGGGAAGAAGGCAAAGACAGAACAACATCCTAGTAAATTTATGTGAGTTGGGTACTTACACTAACTCAAATAATGCAAACAAAGACACACAACCCATAGATTATTATAATATTTTTGCATATTTCCTAATGGACCTGTTGAAAAACAACAGAGCAGAAGTCATGAGAATTTGAAATTCAATAATATCTTCAACTAGTCTCTTTAAAGTCTCACAGGGAACAGTTTATGGAAGATTTCCATTCATGCCTCTATCATAGCCTAATCTCACTTTAGTACTTTAATACTAGTACTTTTGTAGATGTTTTGTTGCACTTAGAATTTCCTATCTAAATGATTAACAGCTAAATTCCCAGGCAATTCTGGAACCTGGAACCTCTCACATCTGGAGGAAAGAAATTGGGGAAGTTGTTCTAACTGGGAAGTTAGTACAGTAGCTTAAAGCACTGATAAAAATTTGCTGGGGTGAGTTCTTCACCAAATTCTTTTTCTTACCCAAAGTAGGATGAAGCAGAGCTTCAGTAATCAAACAAAGCTTCAGATCCACCTACTACTGAAATTAATGGAATTTATACGTGCATAACTGTGTTTCTGAATCAGAGTGTGTATCTGCTTTGGAATTTAAGCAAAAATTTATATGAGAAACTCTATAAGAGAAAATGCCCAAAGGAGCAAAGAACTTACCACATTTCATCATCCCTACTTCATAACATTTCCGGAGTCGGCAGGCCTGGCAACTTTTGCGCCTGTTTTTATCTATTGTACATTGGTTTGTCGCCGGACAAATGTAATCATTGTGCCCTGGAGGGAGGGATAAGAGAAGGTACATTTTAAAAATACTGTGATAAAGTCATAGATTTCGTCCTTGTTTCGGAGAAAAGGTATTTTATTTCTTGAGCTAGCTACTAGTTCTAGTGTGGGAAACACATCTGGTTAGACTGTCCTTGGAGAACCCCAGACAGAGGAAGGGTGACCCAAAAGAGTCACATGTGTCCTTGAGCTAACAAAGAGCATCTTAGCAACACAAACATGGAAAAAATGTGTTCTTTCTTCCCTCATTCAATGAAGATGCATGTTTTGTTAGGGCTATGTGTTCATTAGAGCTGTCTCATTGCATTAATTTGCTTAATCAGAGCACTTAAGATTGCAGCTTGCCAATGGAGAGGATTGAGAATAAACATGTCCTCCAACTGTCAAGCAGCTGGGGAAAGGAGGATCTTCCTTAGATGCATGGGTGCTAAAGGAAAAGAATAGAATAATAGAAGTGTTATCGGCTTATAATCTTTGAGAACTTATTTGAAAGGCTAATCAATAGAGAAATACAGCATGTAAAAGGGCTAAAGACCAAGACAATCCTGTATGCCTCAGTTCTCAATGAAAGCAGCACATACATTTTGAAAGACCTTTTAGTAGAAAGAGGCAAATTGTGACAAGTATACCACAGAAAAGGACTGTGATCAGCAGAAGAGGCTTTTGTTTTGCTTTTGCAAATACAACATGAGAGAATTAAAATATTTCTTTTTAGGTTTCTCATCCTTGGACTAGATTTAACCTTTCTACCAAGATTCAGTAGAGACCAAGGAGAATCTGGAAAGACAGTCATTTCGTTCTGTGGAGAAATAGAGAAATGCCAATTTGTGGAAAAAAAATCATATATCCCCAATTGATATTGAGAATTACTCAAAGCAGATGGTTTTTCTTAAATTTATTTGACAAGCGGGCTCCCTTTTAAAAGGGGAGTCGATAATACAAATTCTGGCCGAATGATAATGAAAGCAAATTATAGCTGTTCAAAAATAAAGGCAAATGAAGGCAAATTTTCTTAGTAACATTTTATCTCAACCTTTGTCTAGAGGCTATACTATATATGATGTTTGGAGTTGAATGCCTGGATTTAGACCATGATGTTCTGAGTGAAATGTTTGATAAGACATCAAGGTCATTAGGAGGTTATGGCCAAATTTTGCTCTCCTAGTTTAGCCTAAGAATTATTGTGTATATGAGGAAAAGGAAAAAAATCACGTAAAAATGTAATTGGTTGGTACCAAACAATTTTACCATTCTACCTCTCATGCCTTATAAGAAAAATCCTCAGAATCAATTTATATTAAGAATAAAGACAGATTCCTATTAGATTATTATGTTAGACTTGGCTACAAGAATAAGAACTTGACATGCAATTAAGACCTAGATGCAGATTATAAAAATGATTCTTTATCTCTTCTTATACTGTAAATGTGTCTTCCATTTCTGAATCGCAGTGTCCTAATAAAATATAGCTCTACTTAACAATTAACCAGTGGAATGGCTTGCCTTCAGAAGTTGTGGGTGCTCCATCACTGGAGGCTTTTAAGAGAAGACTGGACAGTCACTTGTCTGGAATGGTATAGGATCTCCTGCTTAAGCAGGAGGTTGGACTAGAAGACCTCCAAGGTCCCTTCCAACTCTGTTATTCTGTTATAATCTTTATTTCATCTGTTTTCTTCATCTTCAGGTTTATAAGTTCTACAAGCACACATCTAAAAGTCCAAAGTGATAGAGACAGATTTGCTGGTTACTTGGAGGAAAAAAAGGGTGGAAGGGAAGAATACAACTATAAATCATTCCTTCTCCCTGAAAACCACTTGCCCACTCCAAATCTGCTCCCAAAATGGCCTCTTGTAAGGAAATCTAATAATTTTCTCACATTATTCAGAGAGTCATTCCAACTAAAAGGAAGCTTGGTCTCTATCAGCTTTATCAAGTGGGTCTGTGCATTTAAGGAAGGGGCTGGTTTTCATTGATGCTATTACCAAAAAGAACACAAAAAACCCAACCCAATTTATTATGCATAGAAAAATCTGCTTTGGGAAACTGCTGAACACTTTTTGGAAAACAGTCTGTATAGAACAGATGTGAATTCAGTGTTTGGCAGTGAAGGTTGATTATAATCAAAGGTCCCCTGGAAAAAAGATAAAAATGTTGTCATGCCAGGTCTCCAGCATATGTCATGGCCTTCAAAAGGTTATCTTGTCCAGTTCTAAAGTGTAGTTCACCAAATCATATGCCAGGTAAACATTTTACTTTTTTCAATTACCTTAATTTCTTGCATCCCACTTCATACTGTTCCTACAGATCTGAGGCTTAACATTCCTAACTGAAGTTACATTGGAGTAAGTCTCATTGAACAATATTTTCTTAATTATAAACATAAATATTAAAATAAATATGGGGAAGGAATTTGTCCTGGGACTGAAACAATGTACATAAATATTTCTGAAGTAAGCAAAAATCTGAGCAAATATGCCTAGAACCAAACTGTGAGATTTTTCATAATTGCCATTGAAAATGGGACTTTGATTTTTAATCAGTAGATTTCATCAACTACCTGATACCATTTGTCTGAAATGGTGTAGGGTTTCCTGCCTGAGCAGGGGGTTGGGCTCGATGACCTCCAAGGTCTCTTCCAACTTTATTATTATTATTATTATTATTATTATTATTATTGTTGTTGAAGAAATGAGTCCAGTTTTAATGGTGAATCTAAAAGTGAAGAGCGCCTGATACTTTAAGACCTATTTTTGAGTCTACTATTTTAATATAATTGGGAATGAAAAGGAAATCTTAAATGGAATATGAAAAAAAATGCTCTTTGATGCCCTTTTCAATGATGTTCCATTCAATGTCCATTCATTTTTTAAATTTATTAAACTTATATGCCATCCATCTCACCAAACACAACTCTAGGCAGCAATCATTCAATAAAAATGCCATATAAAACATTAAAACAATAAATAGAGATCTTAAAATTAAAATTTAAGTAGTTAGCCCTATCTCTCCGACAGAGTTGGCCAATATTCCCCTAAATCAAGGTATGATTTATGCTTCGGGGCTGCTTTCCCATACTTTTGCAAACATAGGAGGTCTTCCAAAGCTTTATCTTTTGTATCTATATGTTGCTTTTTGGGGTTAAGTACAGATTCAGATTAATTTTTGAAATTTGTAAATATTGGAAACATTTCTTATTTAGTTAAACTTTAATATTCCCTTTTCTTTCTAATTATACAGCATCTCTGTATAAAATGAATGGTACTGTTCTGTTTTTCTGATATTAAATTATCTAACGCTTTATTCAAACTGAAAAAGTTAGCGGGAAGGAAGGAAGGAAGGAAGGAAGGAAGGAAGGAAGGAAAACCTACAGTTGAATGGAAGTCTTAGTTTATTACTGTACTACAGGGCTTTCATTTTTGGTTTCTCCTTGTTCTATCTGGATAAGGATAAGGTTAAGTATTGTCCTTTTTTGTAAGCTTTCTTGCTCACAAATTACCATTCCAAGACACAGTTTGACAACTCCCTATATATACATTTGAGACAGACCATGTAGCGCTGCACCAAAACTATCAAACAGTTCAGTTTCCCAATAGAAAAGTATCCTTCCATAATTCTACCAACTCAGTAAATGTTGGGACAATAAAACCTAAAGAAGTTTCAGTGATTAAAAAAATAGAAAGCTTATAAGATGTTATTAATAATAGAAAGAAATACAGTGATCAGTAATCAATGCTAAATTATTAGTAACTATACATAATAATTCAATTTATCATGCACATTGCTAAATCTCTTCTAAAATCTCTCTGAAATGCTACAATAATCATGCAGATGCTATAATATTTTAGTTGTTTGTTTGTCTGGTGTTAGGGAGTATCAGCTTGTGTATTGTCCCTTAATTTCAAGTGCACCATGTCAAACATTTTGAGAAATACCCAAAATTATAAAATAAATCCAAAACTAAACTTCACACTTTGTTTTGGAAGGAGGAAAAAGGAGAGAAACTTTTCACAAAATAGAAAAAAAATATAACCCAGTTCTGCAGTATATGTAGTATAGCCTTAAGCCCTCTCCAAAATGTTGTGCTAATTTAATTAAGATGCGGTCTCAAGTGGGTCTACAATGGGATTGGGTCAAAAATTCCAAATGATAATTGTAACTACATAAATTGAAGTGCTCCTCTTTTTGATTGCATCATGATCTACATATAAAAGGGGCGGGGTTTGATGTTGGCTGTCATCTTGACTTTTTTGACCCTCCTCTGCACATCTCCCTGGTTGCTCTGTGCAATTTATCTTCAGATTCTTATAAAAATTATTGCATTCAAATGAATTCTTTCCCCAGGATTTCCTGTTTTCCCTACCTTGGATGCTTCTTTTGAAGAAGGCTTTACAGCCTTCACATGACCAAACCCCATAGTGATATCCAGACGCATAATCACTACATACAGCACAGAAATGTGCATCTCTTTTTGAACCAGGACTGTTTGTGGTGGGACTGGTACAGTCACTGCTGCTGTTTTTTCTTTTCAGGGTGTCTCTGGTGGCAGAAAAGGAGAAAATCTGTCATCATACAATACAAAGGAATGTTGTATTTTGCCTCCACAGTGTTCTGTTTTTTTAAATCATCCACATGAAGTTTTACATAGTGGGAAGTGCAATAAAGGAAAGCTTGATCTTACAGAAACTTGCATGGATTAGAATCATAAAAATAAAATACTTATTCTTCAGAACACACCAGGTTTTGCAAGCACCAGCTATTAAAACATGCAATATATTAAACTTGACAAGCATTAGATATGTTAAGTCAGATGTTGTGCTACATTGCAATTACCACATTCTCCCCCCAATCATTTAAGCAGTTATTAGTTTGGGCTGGTGAATGTAATAATTAGCAAAGTGATTAAGCAGAATGAACATTGTGCAGTTAGGAGTTTATGATACACATGCAAAGTTAGTTTTGCCACATTGTTAGGCCAAGTGAAGCACAAAGAGTATTAATTGCTAGGCATTTCATTTATTATTTCCATTCATTCATTCACTATTTTAATTGCCAGAGGCAGGAACAGAGGCTTCTGAGATTTTCAACCTAATGTAACAAAAAAAAGTGACTGGTCTTGAATAGTATAGATTTTATTTTGTGATGAAGGGAAATTGGTTCCATCTGCTGTCTTGGCTAGGGACCTCTGGCTGTCCTGGCTATGGACCACATTCCTTCAACAAATGTTCAAGAAGTAAGCTGTGGTCCACCAAATCAGAAATTTGACAAATGCAAAGACTTAAACATGTATTTTGTTCCTTTTTGAGGCCTGAAACATTGCTTCAGCTACACAGGGGGAAAGGGAGTAAAAAAAAAAACCCAAAAACTAGAAAAGAGGATTTCACTGTGTGATCAAAGCCTTCAAAAGTTTCAGTCATATGGTTGAATCTTCCACCTCAGTGTTACTCAAACTTGGTAACTTTAAAATGTGTGGAATTGATTTTCTCCATGCTGGTTGAGAAATTCTGGGAGTTGAAATCCACACATCTTAAAGTTGCTAAGTTTGAAAACACGTCTCTAGACTGACTTTTTTTTTTACTTACACACATATAGTGTATCACAGAACATCCCTGCTTAAATGCACACTTTACAGGACATATGAATTACATTCTTTACCTCTGAGACAAACTTAATGTCCTCTATTCTTTCTTAAGTAAAAGGAGATTTGATAGCCTTCTCCCTTTTTTGTCAACGATCAGGGACAATGTGCAAGTCCAAAAGGATTTGATAAACAGATGAGCAGAAAAGAAATCACTACAGTCAGAAGCCACATCCAGATATCTGTAGATTTCTGAGTTGTGACAAATGTCTCTGGGTTTCAGAAAGGAGGAGAGGCTTAAGAGGGCGTGTGTCCTTTAAAAAAAATCTCTATAAAACTCAAACAGAGTTTTATACGTCACATTTGAAAACAAAATCCTTCATTAGGAAAAAAAAATAAAATAAAATGCCCTATGCTCAGTTAATCAAGTAAAGGGAGGAGCCGGCTCCATGTAGTTCATATTCTTTCCATCTTTGAACTTTTAATTTAAGTTACAATTCATGAATTTTCAATACCACAATCATTGTTTCCATGGCAATAAATTGATGTCATGAACACAGCATTAAGACGGCACCACAAAAATGAAACAGAAGGGGAAGTGCAACTGTGAAAGAGAATGTGTGCAAAGGCAGAGCATTTTGAAGATGAGAAATCACTCTTTACACTTACCTTTCAAAAGTAATGGAGGATTTCATTGTACAATTCCACTCAAATAAGATATTCTGTAGGTTTGTCAAGTCACTAAAAGAGTGGCTCGTGTAGCCTTCCCCAACTTGTTCCTTCCAGATGTGTTAGTTACTATCTCCCATGATATCTGGAGATGACAGCAATAAGACATCTGGAGGAAAGTTATTGCAGATGACTGAGACAGACCCAAAGCTGTCTGAAATTCAAACTATGTCCAAAATTTCTATTCTTACTTCATTTTTATCCTACCCCTTTTCAATAAAGAATCCCAAAATCTGTATGTCTACGGAGATTCTCAATCAATCATCCAGGTCAAGGTTGCCCCAAGATGCTTTTCCAAAAGCAAAAAAGTTCAGTTGCCTTTTGAAAGGCACCTTTGGGAGTCCCAAAAGCTATATATGGTGTTCTTATCCATCATTTTATAGCTGACTACAATCTTGCATGACAGTGAGAGACAGTATTTAGTCCAAAGTTCTTGGACTAAAAACTTTTTCTTTTCACGTATGGTCAAAACCATTTTGCTAGTTGAGGCAAAGGATAAGCTGATATCCTTCACCCATTTCATACTGCTAAGGTGACCAGACTATCAGTCTTAGTTTAATATAGATGATGTGCTGGTATCCTCCCCATATCATCAAAATCAGGCCAGCTAAAAAGGACAGAATGTGTTCAGGGTACATACAATTTTATCTCCTAATTAAGCAGGCTGACACAAAGAAAGTTCAGAAGGAACAAGGCTGTCTTCTTCCAGGCAAGGGTGGAGGTGTTTCACTATGCCTAACAATAGACCAGCTTGGCTCCCTATCCTACCTTTATTCAGGTATTTCACCATTTTCTAATTGTTACACAAGGAATCTTCCCATAGTCACTTATTAGTGAACTGTTTTTGAAAAAGTAGACTCTATGTTACTTGCAGAAGAAATTCTGTATTATCCAGAAAATGTATCATTCTTTGCTCAGTAACTTTAGATACTTTCATAGCCACTAACCTACTAAATTTCTATACTTGGCAAGATTTCTACTCTAGAGCTCTCTAAAATCATTTTAATTTCCATGAAAATTCCAAGCACAGAGTTATACAATAAAGCTGAATGATGGGAAATTCAAAATAAATAGGAATTCTTAAAATGCCTCTTTAATCTAGGAGTGGTCTAAAATCAAATTTTGAGTGCTTCAGAATGGTTGGAAAATTCCTTTTAAGCTTAAAGTACCTGTTTCAAACTAAAACAAAGCTATTACAAAGTTGAAATAACTCCAGAATGGCTAGAACTCAAAGCGGGAGCATTTTAAATGTCTAAACTCTTGGATTCAAAATGCCTTGTTCATCTTAGTAAATCAATTAAACAAAACAAAGTTAAACTTGCTCCCACAGGATGAAATAATGGCCACCAATGTGGGCAGTCTTATCATGGGATTAGACAAATTAACGAAGGATAGAAAACAATCAGTGGCTACTAGCCCTGATAGTTATATATTTCTCCAGCATCAGAAGGGCTGCACCTCTGCGTGCCCAGTTCTGAGGAAAACAGAAAGGTATTGTGTTAATGTCCTATTTGTGTACTTCCCATAGTCTCCAAGTTGACCACTGTAGGATCAAAATACAGGACTTGTTTGAGGTTCCTGTAGTCCAATTATACTGAGAGTCTATCATATGCTAATTCCACCCATTGCATATCAGAGAAAATGGATGGTCCAGAAAAAATAATTCTCCAAGTACAGGAGAAAAAAATAAATTATTTAATAAATATAGCTCCTTTTTTTCCTTAAAAAAATCAGCCTTGCAATGAGAAATAATCCCACTGAATTCTATACATCACAAATATTATGCAGGTACAATTTTACATTATCAAGAACTCAGAAATATTTTTAAAAACAGTCCTCTTCTGAATATATTTATTGCACCATCAAAATCCTTTCCCAAGATTTCTCCTACATCATCCCCTAAATATCAAACCAAATGTCTGGAAGTTCAAATTTCATCTTAGCTCTGACTTTCAATATCTAAACCTGTGACTGAACTGTGTTCATACAGTATATTCTCATGGAAATAAGAGTTACTTAAGAACATGGATAAATATTAAGAATTTCTATCTTTTCATTATTTCAAAGCAAAAAGGCAAAATATATATTCATGGGGTATCACTGATTGGCTCTCCCAACTTTGAAAGCAAATTGTGGGTGGAAGAAACAATACTTTGATCAGAGAAGCAATTCTGGAGAAATAATTCATGCTATTTGCCCCATTTAAAGCATTTTGCTTTCTGTTTCTTGGTCATATTACACTGGACTGGATATTTAGCACTAAATAGATAATTTTTAAAATTACCTGTGCATAGGTAAGACGTGATCCACAGGTCGGGCTTCACACCAAGGGCTTTTCGGTTGCTCTGCATATAAAACCGATGATTGGCAGTGTACTGTCAGAGGAGATATGTGACCAGGACTGGTCCACAACATATTTGGACTTGCTGCCTGCCTTAAAGTGGCATTTTCTGAATCACTGAAATTGCCTGGAATGTTATAATTCATCATCGAAGGGCTGTAGAAAGCCATGGCCGAGTAGTCGGGTCTGTTCTCCATGTAACAGGATGGAATGTAGATGGGGCTGTGCTCGACCGTCAGAGCAGCCTGGCTGCAGCTGAAAGGGATGGGAGAGCTGTGCTCAGAGACGGCGCTTTTGGATTCTCTTTTACTACATCCGAGATCTTGAATTGGTGGCAAATGAGAACATTCCTTGTGAGACGATGCACAGAGGGACATGCTGGAGTGAGATGGATGCCAAATGTCGCTTTCTTAATCAGTCATCCCCCAACATTTAATCTGGAAAACAGCAATACGTAAGGCTACATAAATACATTTTTAAAAAGAAAATCCCCCCCTCCTCACCCTCACTTCCTGGCCATATATATCTGGAGCAAAAATATTACAATAGCAATTTTAGTAGACCAACGAGTACAGAAACAGTCCTACTCAGACATAAAAATGGTGATCCTATGAGAACTGCCTGATCCACTGCCTGTGGGTGGGAAAGATAATTCTCTTGAAATCTCCCATTCACCTAATTCAGAGGAGGGTAACCTGAGGATCCAGAGCCAAGTTTTAAAGAACCTTTTACCCCAACTCAGGCAAAACTCAGTAGTATGGTTTCCCCCTAATTTGAGGCAAGAAGCACACAAAAACTACAGCATCAATAAAATTAAAAAAAGAAATACAGCCCAGGACTCCCAACCCAAAACTCATTAACAAAAAATATGGAAACCTTTGTTCTGCCTACATGCTTGCATGATATGACCCAGCCCAATTTAGATCATAGCCTCACCAACCTACTTGGCTTTTGCCCTTCTAAAAAGAAGTAAGGCTTCCAGACTTCCAAAGGTTGCTCATCTCCAATCAAACTAATGTAATAATAGCGATTAACAAAGGGGACAAGCTTCACTGTGAGCACTCAAATGTGTCAGCGCTGGTGTTATGCCACAAAGAAATGATATACGTTCAAGGAAGATTCATCCTACTGTTGGTAGAACCATGCTGCAAATTTTCAGGGCAGAGATGCCTTACCATGGTCATTTCAGGCCCAGAAAACTGCAGGTTTCACGATTGCAATGTTTCTCCAACCCTTAAGCATTCTGCTACCTGAAGTGAAGAGCAAGCTGCCATTTTCACTTCACATACAAGTTACAAAAGTCAACCCAACTGGCAGTTAAATTATACTCTAATGCCAATAATGGGACAGTGACCGTGATTACACTTGAAAGTAGTAGGTTACTTCAGGTGAAACAGGGCGGACTATTCCCCCAGCAATTCCTAATGGCACCCATAGATTTTGCTTGTGTTACTTACTGGAACTGGTCAGGAAATATAATTTCACTATATTTTTTTTATATTTGAGCACAGTTCAAATTGATCATTAACTCCTGCTTTTAAAGCTCCAGAGTGTATAATGTCATCAGCAACTTGTTTTCCCTCATGGGATTGTGAATAACAAGAAGTCTGACAACACAGCCATGATGGTACCAAGTGGGTGGGCCAAATTTTTTTACCCCATTTTAAACTTGCTTTCTGGTGAACTTATGTTAATATATTGGGGGGGAGGCATTTTAAAATCACAAAGACTTTATTGCTATATTTCCTTGACATGATGGCTAGGGACCTGGGGGAAAGGAACTTAATAGGTTGCAGTACTTGATGTGGCTTCCTAAGGGAATATATTTTCATAGAAGACAATATATGTAGCTCAGGGTTGGACTGTGGAGTCTTTCTGCCTATTACAACATGATCTTCTGGGTTTTTCCCCAGTAGATTACCAGAAAATGTTGATTTTATATGCATATTGGTTGATTGCATTGAATATAAGTAAGTATGCCACTTTGTTATTCTTCAAAGATGCATAATAAATCATATACGGTAAATAGAATAGTTTTCATATAATTTGGCACCTGTCTTGAGACCACTACTTCTGAAGTTTAGAATATAAATCTTCTATCTGAATTTTAGAATACAAATCTTCTATTGATCATCAGAGGTCAGAAGCTAGATAACTGGGAACTACTGTAGACCCTAATCGAAACTAACACTGGCTTCATCTCATTACCACCACTATCACTACCACCCCATTCTATTGTCTAAAACAGTTTTAGCAACTGTTTTTCAATTCTTACTTTGTCCATCAACCTTTGTCTTTTTAAATGGCTTTGAGCGCCTTTCCTGCATATCCCTTTTAGTCAGTCCTAGAGGCACTGAGAAGGAAGACAATGCAGTAGGAGTAGCAATACTCTGCTCAGCCAGCAGTAGAAAGGAGTAAGGGTCATACCATTAGTTGAGATACTCAGAAGGAAGGGGAAATTAGAAGCGGTCATGGTTTAGCACTAAGAATAAACAAGAACTAAAAGATAGATTGCCAACTACAATGTTTAAAGCTTCCTGGTCCCTCAATGGAAAAGTTAAATGAAATGTGTGATAGCGCTTTGAATAGCTTAAGTATTCCTCCTGCAACATCCTCATTCATTGAAGCCTACAAAGCCCTTCATAGCCAAGGGTCAGATTTGAAAGACCACTTGTCTCCAGTCATCTTTGCTTATCCACCGATTCTAACCGTATGGGTATGCTCCAGATCCCCTCTAGTATGTCATGACATTTAATGGTACCCAGGAAATATACCTGTTATATCATGGCATTGATTCTATGGAACAGCATAACTCCTGAGATTTGGATGGCCCCAATCCTGCTTCCTTTTTGTAAAGCACTGAAGAGCTGGACCTTCCTCTGAGCATTGAGTGTTTAGAGAACCTGCCTGGATATCATTGTTGTTTTTGAGTTACTCTAAATTAGTGTTAAGTTTTTTATTTCTGCTTATTTTATTATTGTTAGCCTGTCAGCACTGTGTGTCAAGTAGATCACCATCTATGACAGGGTAACATGGAGAGCCTACAGGCTCCACAAACTAGGAGTTGGATTCAGTCTAAATAGTTAGGACATCTAAAAGAGCATCCATCTCATAGTTGCTAAGGACAGCCTGTGTTGTTACTACAAAATAATAAAATTCCACTTTACTAGAAGAAAACACTACTGCAAGCAGCAGAGGCTTATCCTTTTCCATCACCAGTCTTACATCTCATCTGACCATTCCAACATTAGAGGTGGAACTGTTTCCTTCAGTTTTTAATTCTAACAGTTATTCTGGCAATCTGTTGATTCATAAACATTTGTTGACAGCATATTTCCCCAATTTTCATTTCATCCTCACTTCTATAAGAGGATGTTGCCTCAGCAGGAAGCTAAATCCAATTGACACTTTAAACAGGCTGAAAAGACCAGAGAAATTATGAGTTCTAAGATGCTGAATGGACTGTTATAAGCCCTTAACCTAATTTTTGCAGTCTTAAACTTTTGCAGAGCTGGGGAGACAGATTGCTGATAAGAACAGATCCATTGAGGCAGAGCCTGCTACTAAATATGTTGCCTTCTGCTGGGAAAGCCCTGAATAAAGCACTGATTACCCAACCCTAAGATCACTTACATTAGGGTTAACCTTGTCAACTTTAAAGGGACATCTGAAAATTAAAGTCCACACATCTTAAAGTTGTCAAGGTTGAGAAACATTGACCTGCATTTACCTTCTCCAAATTGATTCTCTGGGATTGGTAATTGAACATATTTGGAGGGCAATTAGTGGGAAAGGCTAGCCTATATGAGGTTTTTGTAAAAAAAAAAAAATGCTAATTTCTGGACTAGAATTTCCAGATTGAAGTTCTGGTAAAAGTAGAATAATTGTCACTCATTGTGAGTTCCATAGAAAGTTTTACTTCCTAAACAGAGAAAAAAAGTTTTTTTCAGTATATACAGGTAAACATATCATAGAAATTTCCCTGGTGGTTTTGTAGAATCTAGCCTTTGGTTATTTTCTTTCTAGTGGATTAATTTTTAAATCAACATAAGAAAACCAAGAAATAACAGAATATCCCTTAAATGCACAGAAATATCTTCCCACTCCTTTTTTCCATTACTTCCCAGGCAAAACACCAAAGCAGCATGTTTAGTTGACTTTGTCCAAACAAAAACATCTTCAGTTCTCCTCACAACTTAAAATGTTTTAAGACCCACACACAAGTGAAGCTCTCCAAGCCATCTAAGCCACAACAGCCATCTTTTTTTCTACAGGAGGTATGACTCAAGAAGGCTTCCAAAAATTAGCCTGTTCTGTACAGGGAGTTCAACTCTGTCAGAGATGGAATATCCCCAGAATTAGTGGGGGATCAAGTTTGACCTTAAGCTTGTCCATATCATCCAGCCTCCAGCAGTCTCCAGTTAGGGCTACTGCAGCCAGGGTGACAATTATTTCTGGTGTTGACAATGTTGATATAAATAGATAGTTTAAATTCAAATTCAGATATCTTTATTATAGTCTTTGCCCAGTCTATAATAGATTATTTAAATCCTATTAAGATAAATGTTGTAAAGTTGAATATTACTGATATATGTCTTTAGAAAGATTCCTATGCCAGCAACTTTAAGGTATTTCAAATGTTTCACTTCTCCTATGTCATTACTAAGAACAAATCCTGCCCATAAGGAAAGTCTGTAGAATTATATCTTTTCCAGGAACAATGGGAAGAAATTGTCAATTCAGTTTCTACAAATTCTAAAAAAGAATTTTGTAAGGCCAACTGTGCCCACCTCTAGATAGATCATTGCAGTTTGTCCAGGAGACATGATATAATTCATCAGCCATTGAGGTACATTTGAGAGAAAATACTGATGCTTCTTCATTTTTCTTGAATCATCCTATCAAGAGATATTTGTTGACCAAGTTGGCAGAAATTCTAGCAACTATAATTCCACTATAGCTGAAGGATGCTAGATAGGAGGAAGCTGTTCAAAAATATAAACCTGGATTGTTCCCAAAATCAGATCCCATTAAAAGAGTTTAGCTTACCTAGACAGCATTTTCTGAGAATAAAATATATCTTAAAAGAGATTTCTAAAACAAAAGTACATACAATTGTTAATCAACATATGTGCCTGTAAATTAAATCTAATTATGTTTGTACCATAATGCTTTCCCCCTATTTATCTTTCTTCATTTCTTTGCCCAGCATTTCTCTATGCCATGTTCTATCTTGCATATTTGATTTTTTTTCAGTTAAGTACACAGTGGCCTAATCCAGATTAATCACAAAAGCAGCAAAATTCCACTTTGATATAACTTAAGTCTACAAACAGCAGATAATGAACTTAACCATGCCACGAGATATACCTTTAATAAAATAAATAGTAAAAAAGTACATGTTTGGTTTTAATTCACTTGGATCTCCTATTGATTA